TAAGTAAAAGAAATAAACTATTAAAACCTATTTCAACAGTGTTTACATAATGGCTCCCTCCTGGGTTTCAACGTCAATATCGGTATATTACAAGGTAAAGGTAAATAAAAGAAATAAACTATTAAGACCTATTTCAATAGTGTTTACATAATGGCTCCCTCCTGTTTAATAATAATAATAATAATAATAATAATAATAATAATAATAACAAGAAAGGAAATGAGAACCCACAATACAGCAATTTTAACACTTGGTCATGTATCAAGTAGTGAGCTTAGCTTTGGTGATTAAATAAGACAAGAAACTTCCCTTGTAGTAACGTCTCAGACAAGAATGATGTCATGAATGTTTTCCACATTGTCACATCTCCTTATGTATTCTCTTATTGTTGCATTTTGCACTCTTAACAATGCCAGTGGGTTTTAACTTCATTTTTTTGCCTCTCTAGTACAAAATGTGAATAAATAAACAATAGCCTCCATTTGGTCCGATAACATGCTAGGATATTTGTCCGCGGACATTATCTGTTCTGAGAAGTGAACAGTTTTCCGAGAGTGAAGCTCAAGGAAAACTGTGAGCCGCAAGGAACAGGTAATGTCCAAGGACAAATATCCGAACATATTTTAGTGCCAAATGGAGGGTATTGTGTTTATTTTTATCTTTAAAATCTTTTTCGCAACACGTGCAGTTTTGAAATTTAGGGAATATTCTCAGATATTTTCCAGGTTTAGCTGGGGAATATTTGGTTCCATGACGTGTTTAGACCAACTGCGTAGGAGCGCAAGTATTTGATGGATTATAACTATTGATATATCATGATGACCTACAGATAAACTTAAGCTCAGTGGCATGTTTTTCCCAGTTCACAAGCTGGTAGCCCCTTTGCATTTATCATTTTTGAGATCTGTATTAACAAGTAATTATGTTGGGATTAATGAAAGAAAAGAAAGAAAGAAAGAAACCTAATAAAAAGGGGAAGAGAACAGAGTTTGCTACATTCCAAATGGAAATGTTCATTGAAATGATAATTAAACAAGAAATACATGTAATTTAAAATTTGCAAGGAACAAAATTTGTTGAATTTCATTTGTATTACTGTCGCACAGTACTGTAGAAACTTTCTACAAGGAAGTCACAAAGCAATAAAAAATACTTGGGGGGGGGGGGAATCCCACATAAAAAGGATAGGGGTGCTTGTCGTATCTTTTAGGGGTTAAAAAAGCGGTATTGATACCTCTTTAGGGTGTCGCACCTCAAAAGGTCCACAGTGGGAGCTTTTGCAGTACCTTTTAGGGTATTGAGCTGAAAAAAATATGACAGGAGATAGTGTATTGTTTTAGAATTGGTAGCATAACAAGCCATACCCACAAAACAGGATCTTGCTTCCTCTCAGGGGTTCTTTCCAAAATTTCTGACGGGCACCCCCGTCCTTTTTATATGGGTCCCCCCTGAGGGGGAGGGGGGAAACAAGTCACAAGGAGACAAGTAAGAGAAACTCTAGAGTGCCAGTAGCAAGTAGCATCAACTTAGACCTAAACCTTTGAATGTGATTGAAAGATAATATTATTTCAATGACCACTCAAGTAAATTTCATTGATTTGCACAATAATCAATAATTATTGTACTACTGAAAGGACAGTTGGCCTTTTTGTCATATTGTGGTGTGAGGTGAATTTTCCACTCTCTATCAGGGATGAGTTTCATCTGGTTACTGGCTACTGACAGAATAATCTCTCACCTCTGGACAGGCTCTCAAACAACCTGAATTTACTATAGTTTCTGTTAGAGCTCACTTCAGTGAATCATTCCTTTGACGGCAATGAGCAAATATTATGCCCCAAATTAGAAAGCCAAATTCGCTACGAGCAATGAGAATTAGCTGCATTAGCAGGCTTAAAGTGGCTCAAAACAGTTTCTAGCACTTAGACTGTGATGGGTCGTTTATAGCTACTCTTTATCACTTGATGCTACAATCACGGTATCAAAAAACTGCCCTATCATTGGTGAACACGTTGTTATCATTGTCGTGACAAAATAGGTTACCATAGCAACAGTATGCCCTACTAAAAGCACCTTTAATTACAGCTTTAGGGGCTTATAATTAACAAATGGCACGGTGAAATTTTTTTACATTATCAAATTTTAATAAGCATGATAAGACACAACTTTTAGCAAAGTCTTACAAAAATCTGTACATGGAGTTCAGAGCCACCTTAAATTTTCAAAAAAATAAGGTGGCTCTGAACACTATGTACAGATTTTTTTAGAACTTTGCCAAAAGTTGCATCTTATCATGCTTATTAAAATTTGTATAAAAAATTTCACTGTGCCGTTTTTGAATTATTATCCCCTAAAGCTGAAATTAAGGGTGTTTTTAGCAAGTCATACCGTTGCTATGGTAACCTATTGTGTCACGAAAATGATAACAACGTGTTCACCAATGATTGGGCAGTTTTTTGATACCATGATTGTAGCATCAAGTGATAAAGAGTGGTTGTAATGACCCATCCAAGTCTAACTGCTGGAAACTGTTTTGAGCCACCTTAAGTCGTGCGGGCAGCCTGAATGACAACGATGACTAACACTTCTACACGGCAGCATGGAGGAAGATAATTAGTGCATTTAATAAGAACATTTGGGGGTAGGCTGGTCTACATCACTGATTCATGTTTTCGTTGGGGCACAGCTTCGGAGTCAAAGGGCATTCCACATCTACTCTCTTGAAAGCTTGGTTAGTTTCATTAATGAAGACTCTTACCTTCAACCTGCTTCAACAAATGTGCAAAGTCGCCCCTCAATCAAGATACCACTAGTTAGCAACCGCGAGGAATCCTTTTTCTCCAAACTTAACAAATAACTATTAGTATCTGCTTTCTAAACGTTATTAACCGTACACGCATGTGTGGTGAAATGGGTAATTCAACCAGTTTAAAATCCGAAAAGTCCTTTTTTGCATTTTGCCCAACACTTCCGCCATTATACTTGTATGCTCCAGATCCCACTCGGTCGAGACCCATGTTCCTGTTAGGGGAGAGGCGGGGATGGTGGGTGGGGGGGGTGCGGATGAGTGTGTTTTGTGTATTAACTGAATCCTACTCTTTTTTTGGAGAAACATGCTTCGACCCTGCAGCGTTCGGGACTGCTTCCAGTTTAGTTCACAGGATATTTGTTCTGATATTTATCTCTTCTTAAATTAAGAATCAAACAAACAAATTCTTAGTCAAATTAAACCGACCCACTTTTTTTCCCCTCTCGTGTTGTTTCTCATCTCGTTTAGTGTAACGTTCCAGTAAAAAACAGCCCTGAAGGGGAGCTAGAGCTGAGAGTTTTTTTATCGTTTGTTGTTTATAGAGCAACTTTGCAAAAAGCCTGTAATGATCTGTAATTATTCTTTCCTTCCGAAGACAACATCTTTAGCTCTAGTCATATAGCCTTAGTGACCTTAGTTGCTGTCTCGTTGAGGACGATAAATTACCCCTGTGAAGGAAGGAACATTCCCAACGTAACGTGACTCCCTATAGCGGCAAGGTTTAGCTTGATCAAGTGTAAAGGTAAATCTACTTTCGATTTCGTTTTCTTTATCGAACAAACAAAGACGAAGTCACGAGAATGACTTTTTGACCCCAGTTTTCAGATGTTTTGGGGCTTTTGTCATTGTATTGGATTGCTTTCCCAGAAAAACAGATTTCGTAATACTCTTCTCTTAATATTCTGTATACTTTTGTATTTGACTTGTCCAGTATTACATAGACTTCTTGTTTTTCCAACGGAATGTACATCAGTGGTAAGTAAATATTGATTGCAATGTGTTGTTCATGAAGTTCGACAGTTGATTATGTCGCTCGCTTTACCGCGCATACCTCAGTTGGCCGGGATGTTTTGCTGCAGTCATTTCTGAAGTATAACTGAAAGAAGAAGACGCGTAAATCAAAAGTAACAGTGTCTGTACATAGCTTAAACAAACTAACAAATAATCCACGAAAAGTTAATGTCTCAAATCGCCTCACTTAGCTGCAAGCTGGGACATTTTTACAGCTAATTATCTGTTACTCTGTTTTCGTGTTCGCAAGTTTCAACAGCCTGACACTTGTCAAGACTTGTGAACGTTTTCTCCAATTCTTGACGATTCTTGAGAAGTACCGCTATTAGGAACGACTGCTTTATTCCAACAGTCAACACTGATCTACCTCAACCAAACTGCAGTAGGACCTGGACGCGGTATTTCAGTCGCCATTTTATCGGATATATCGTACAACTTTAGTTGATCCCATGACATCAGGAGAAACTTGTAGTGAAATAAATGGGTAAATAACCCTAACCCTAAACTCAATTCCCTTGGTCGGACTTGAATGTTAACAGAATGCTACACTTCTTCTTTTGAGAAACATGCTTCGACCAGCGTTCGGGACTGCTTCCTGTTTAGTTCACAGGATATTTATCTTGCTCAAAGAATCAACCAAACAAATTCTTGGTCAAATGAAATCGACACACGTTTTTCTCTCTTGTGTTGTTTCGCATCTCGTTTAGTTCAACGTTCCAGGGCGGCCTTCCAGTAATTATAAGAAACTGCAGTGGAAGGGAGCTGAGAGTGTTTTATCGCTTGTTTGTTTATTGAGCAACTTTACAAAAAGCATGAAATTATTCCTTCCTTTCGAAAGACACCATTTCTTTTCATAGCCACAGTTGCTGTCTCGCTGAGGACTATAAATTACCCCGGAGAAAGAAGGAAAATCGCCCTATAGCAGCAAGGTTTAGCTTGATCAAGTGTAAAGGTACATCTACTTTCGATTTCGTTTTCTTTATCGAGCAAACAAAGACAACGTCACGAGAATGACTTTTTGACCCCAGTTTCCCGATGTTTTGGGGCTTTCGTCATGGTATTGGATTGATTCCCAGAAAAACAGATCTCGCGATACTCTTCAGTATTCTATACTGTTGTATTTGACTTGTCCAGTATTACACAGTTACCTGAGCGTTTCTCCATAGGAATGTACATCAGAGGTAAGTAACGGCGGATTGCCATGTGTTATTGACAGACAAACACAACCACGCGCATACCGTAAATCCTCGAATTAGCCCCCCCCCCCCCCCCCNTCCCCTCGAATAAGCGCCCCCCATTTTCTCCTTAACTTGAAATAAGCGTCCCGGGCGCTAATTCGAGGACTTGCGGTACCTCTTGGCTGAAATGCTTTCTTGCACTCTCATCTGTATTATCAATCATTATCGTCCTAGTATAACTGAAAGAAGTAAACGCCTAAATCAAAAGTTACAGTGTTTGTTCATAGCTTAAACAAACTAACAAGTAATCTACGAAAAACACAATTTGTCTCAAATCTTATCATTTAGCTACAAGCTTGGCTTTCGTGTTGTGAACGTAGTTTTCCAATTCTTGAAGATTGCGAAAAGCATGCTACGATAAGCGTTCGCGATTGCCCCGCACTTTCAACAAAGTTCAGCTCACAGAATATTTATCTTTTCTTCGGGAAGCAAAGACATAAATTTTCAGAATTCTTGGTCGGATTAAATCGACCCCTATTTATCTTCCGTTCATGTTCTGTCGCTTCTAATTCTCAATACGTCAAGACTGTGATAAGAAGCTTGTCTGTTTACCCTCAAATCTTTTCACTTTAAAAGACTCCCGCCTTACGAAGCATTATCTTGATTGTCAGCTATTTTGCTTACTAAAACTGAACCGAAGGTGATTTTCTCAATAAATTACTCGATAAAATTATATGTAAGGTATTACAAAGATATTTATAGCAAAATAAATTATTCAGCGAGCTGTACTCATAGTTACGCTCAATATCACAGAAGGCTAAGTAAATGTGAATCCTAGTAAATGGTTTGAACCCAGGAGTATCAGTAATTCGTCTTGTGTGACCGATTCTAGTTCTTACCAGAAAAAACCAATGACTGGTGACAAACTTAACACGAGTCTTTTAGTCAATATCATCACGGCTAAACTGACCAATCACTTTCAAGGCATCAGAGGTGTGATATCATCCACTGACAAACACTATTCACTTGACTCCGAAGATGGCTTCCGCTCAGGTTGTCGAAACAGTACAAATTAAAAATGAACGATAAATTGGCCCTCTTTCAGCCAATCACAATGAAGTCATTTTCTCAGTCACATAGCAAGTTCTATAACGAGGGGTTCTTATGTCTAAGATTATATATTGCAGGGGGAGGGGGGGGGGAATTTTTTCGGAATTTAATGGTACTTATCAAATGTCACTTTCCAGGCTACTTGTAAAGTCGTACATTCACACCCGGGCTAAATCGAGCTCTTCTTTCATGCCTGGCTTATTTTATGCCTTAAATGTTTACTATCAGAAATTTCTTTGTATAGCTTCGGAATGTCACGTTTTGTGAAGAAAGTGAGTTATAGGTTGGTTACTGTAGTCCCGTCCCTGAACTCACCCTTACCCGCCCTAGGGGAAGGGCAAGAGGTCACTTTCCCCTACTTTTGCCCCTCTCTCTCGCGTCCAAAATACACGGTGGGAAAACCATGTATAACAGACCTTTTACGAAACGCGCGCTATCCTAGCGGCCATTTCAAGAATGAACAATGGAAGAACTTTAAAAAGCTTGGCAAAGTTACTATCCCGTTGAAAAACTAACGACCAGAACACTACAAATCGCTGGCCGCCGTCCTCAGACCGCGTCATTTATGATGGAAACATTGTTATTTTGCTTACCTACTAGCTAGAGTTCAATTATCGAATCTTTCGGGCGTGAACTACGCCGGCCATCAATGATAAGCAGTTATCTCGGTCAGTCATGTGGCTAGCGTTAAACGATTTTTTAGAGTGTTTCTAACAGTTTCAGTGTTGTTGATCATCTGGCAAGCTCATTAAATTGGCTTTGCGCGCAATTTACGATAATGTTTCCTGCTTTGAAGTCGTGCATTTGGTCGTGTAATTGAATTTGTCATTTGAACCAGCAATTAAAACGCTAGTGCGTGCATCAACACCACACTCTGATTGGCCCACTTTGAGCATGCGCCTGCGGGCTCTCCTGGACTCTAAGGACTCTCTCCTCCTCTGTCTGTGTTCAATCCCTTTATAGAGTGGGTAAGGAAGAGCTCATGGACTGGACCAGGTTACATGCCGCTCGAGTTGGATTGACGCGCTCGATATAGGCGATCTTCTCGCCTCTCGCGTCTTCTTTGGTCCTTACACGTGCCCTTCCAACTTGCGCCTTCATTTCTTCTGCACCTGTTATGTAAGCTACAGAGATGTAACTCGAGTGCTTGTGTTTATTCTTTCTTTGGTAAACCATCGCATAAAGGCAGTTTCCTGAAACTCGAGTTGTTCGGCTCGTATTAATTGATGACACTTTTCTTCCACAGGGCCGAAATGATGAAGATCTGAAATAATCTTTTTAATAACCCCAGTGAGATTAATTTGTCATTACAAGGCACGAGAAATGGCGCTTCAGCCGTTTACAAACGAACAGTTGAACTATTTTAAGTTTGCTTTCGTCGTCCTCAATGAATTCCCAAGAGCATTACGTCAAACGTTCAAAGCGATGTGGGACAACACCTTTGGACATCTCCCTGGTATGCAACCCTGGGATGACTCCATTGCTGTAAGGAATATGTTCCTGGCTACAGAAGGCGGAACAACCAAAGTTCTTACGCACCTCTCTTATGACGAATGGGATTGTACCGCCTTATTCCAGGCTACAATCTTCGCACGTTCTTTTGCTTTACCAGACAGCGCTGGACATCACAAAACACTTAGTAATCTGTTCGTAAGGCCCCGTGGTTTACCTCATGGACGTTTTCATGCTTCTGTAATAAGCCCGGGTGGAAACAATGCTGAAACTTTCGCGTTGGCGATCGATCAACTATGACTTCTTAGAAACGCGTTTTGCCACTCTTCCAGTTCCAAGATGTGCAAACCAACATTTGATCAATACATACAGCATACTAAAGACGCGTTCGGAGCCCTTGGAGTGACGACAGGTCCTGTTGACGCCGTTGGAAGTTTGACTGAGGCAGACTTTCCTACACAAAGAGTTCGCACTTTGGAGGATGAGATCAGGAAAGAGCTCCAGGCAGTAAGTGCATTTCTCAAGGAAGACGTGAAGGATGAGTTAGTGGAAATGAAGGATGAAGTAGTGGGAATTAGGTCTGACATCGTGCAATTGAATCAGGAACGTAAAGAAGATGTAACACGGGCAGGACGAGAAAGAAAAGAGGAGATTAAGGAGCTACAGAACCAGTTGAGGGAAGACATCAGAAAAGAACACCAGGGACAGAGAACATCTCTCCAGAAAGACGTGAAAGATGAGCTGATGAGAGTAGGATCTGATATCGCGCAATCGAACCAGCAACTTAAAGAAGATGTAACACAAGCAGTGAGAGAAGGAAAAGTGGAGATTCAGGAGCTACAGAGCCAGTTGAGGGAAGATCTCAGAAAAGAACACCAAGGACAGAGAGCTTCTCTCAAGAAAGATGTGAAAGATGAGCTGATGAGAATAGGGTCTGATATCGCGCAATCGAGACAGGAACTTAAAGAAGATGTGACACAAGCAGCGAGAGAAAGAAAAGAAGAGATTCAGGAACTGCATTACCAGCTGAAGGAAGACATCAAAAAGGAGTTTCAGGCTGAGAGCGCACTTCTCCAGGAAGGCGTGAAACAAGAGTTACAGAGCATAAGGTCTGATATCGCACAAGCGAACCAGGAACGTAAAGAAGATGTAACACAAGCAGCGAGAGAGAGAAAAGAGGAGATTCAAGAGCTAAAGAACAAGTTCAAATTAAATACAAAGCAGTGCAAAGAGGAAACGTTGGCTTCTTCAATGAGGACGACCTCCACAGCTGATCAAGAAATCAATGAGCCAGTTGCCGAGTTGAAGCGAAAGTTTGATGAGCTGCTCAAGGATAGAAGATTACCAGGTAAAAACAACTGTTAGTTTGACACAACTGTTTGTTGGTATAGAGCCCTGGTAGCTGTTAGTGACAATACTGAGAGAATTTTGAAATCGATTTTTCAGTTTTTTTCCTACGAACAGGTTATTTATAAATGATCAGAAACTCGGACAATTGTCAAAGTATTTCGTTAAAAGAGTATACTCCTTTTCTATACCAAAATATTTCCTAATTAAAAAAACACATTTCCCTCTTACTTAAAAATAAATTTCCAAAGCTTATCGATCGAGGGATTAGTAAATTGCGTTATTGTTTAAAAATACTACGCTTGACAATTGTGAAAATTTGCTTATAGCTGCACTTAAATTGGTCTCAATATATTCTTATTTCCTTTTTAACAGAATCGAAACCCCTTCTTCCAAGATCGTGCCTTCCTTCCAAGGTGCCCAACTTCACTGGACGCGAGAAGGAATGTGAAGAGATAATTGGGCACGTCACTTCAGCTTCTACTCGACTGGTGTCAGTGTGGGGCTCACCGGGATTCGGAAAAACTTCCGTTGCAATCGCAGTGGGACATGATTTCCAAGCACAAGGCCTTCCGGTATACTTCCTGTCAGTGCGTGAGCTGAAGTCCAAAGGCGATCTAACATCAAAGTTTCTTGGCTTGCTACGCCGGTCTACGACGCTTAAAGATGACCATCAAGCACTAGCACAGAGTTTAACAGTAGATGATGAACTTTGCTCAATATTTGATGAGATGTCTGAGCACTGCGTTTTCATTCTTGGTAATGCCGATGATTTACTTGAAAGTGGCGTACCAAACGTGAAGGAAGAGGTTATGAATCTACTTGAAGAAATTCTGAATCGCAGCGACTGACAAAGTGACTTTCCTTCTTACCACAAGGGAATCTTTGAGGTTCTTGGATTTCCGTTTGCAAGGACACCAGGCTGTAAGAATAAGGGAACTAGATGAGTCATCTTCTCAACACCTGGTTCAAAAGTTGCTTCCAGAAGCCAGTGGCTCTGACTGTGTAAAAGTTTCGCACATCTGCGGGAACGTGCCCCTAGCAATGAAGCTGTTGTGTTCCTCTGTTACTGAAGACGGTTCTCAACCTGGCCCTTTTGTTGACGAGTTCATGGAGACGGCCACAGCGGACAACATTGTGGAAATGTTAGACAACCCAGATTACCCCAGCGATCTGAGAATGAAGTCACTTTTCGACGCTTCTTTCCAAAGACTCACTACTCAAGATAAGGAAGCTCTAGTATCCTTGTGTATTCTATCCGAACAGTTTGATCTGGAGATCGCCGCAACTGTTCTGGGAATAAGATGAACCGAAGCTTCAAAGGCGCTGCAAAGACTTCAGCGGAAATCTCTCATAGATTCCAGTTCAAACTCTGGAAAATTTACCTTTCACAAGCTTCTTCATTCATTTGCAAGTGAAAAAGGAGAACTTGAGATGAAAGAAACGGTTCTCGACTCCAAAATTCGCTTTTATGAGTTCTACATTGCCTTATTCGAGAAGCTTAACGGGAACTTCCTCACTGGATTTTCCATGCGTTCCTTTATCCAGTTCTTTGAAAACGAACAAAGGATCGTTCAAAGTCTGATTGACGGTTGTTACTATTCGAAGACAGTTGACAGAATTTTGGAAGTTTTGGTCAAGGCAGAGTTGTTCCTTTACTTTCTTTATTACCAGGGAAGAGCTGTGCCCGACAAGATTTACGATTCAGCAATAACGGCGGCCACTCGTCCTGGTAAAGATTATTTCAACAAGGCACTGCTTGGTTCCAAAGCTTTTGGCGAAGTAATTCATGCTCTACCTGGAGGGACGTTGCAGCGGCTTTCTGAAGTCGAGGAATCACTTGTTCCTACCTCCGTCGATGATATCAAGCAGAAAGGAAAACTCTTGTTTTATGGAGGAATTTATCAGCTTGTTATGGGCAATGTTGGAGGAGCGAAATGTTTAGAAAAAGCTGTTTCTTCGATGGATGCAAGTCCAGAGCACACAACACTAAAGCTGATTGCGTTTCAAATTCTTTCGCTGTATTTTGGCTACAAAAATAACTCGGAAAAGTCCTCTTACTTCTACATGAAAGCACTGCAGGAATGCCAAGTAGTGGGAGACAAGGGCTTACTGGTGATCCCTAAAGTCGAGGGAACAATAAAGGAAGGTGAGGCAAAGAAAGCACATTCAAGAAAATGCCAAATCACCGCAAACCAGCCACTTCAACTTGAAATTATCTTTCTCGTGAGCCAAGCAGTTAAGAATTTCTCTACTACTGAAACCTATCAGTGTTTTGCACTCTTGCTATCGAAAATACTTCAACATTATAAGACGGCATTTCCAGCAGGAATGACTGGTTCGTTCCATTATCATTTCACTGGCATACGTTTTTTGCGGACGTTATGCAAACAACAGGGCGCGGGAATCACCATCGAAGAAATACTCGGTTTACCTGGCAGATCAGCAGACCAAAACGAGACTGAGAAAACTAAACTCCCCTCAACTCCAGAAAAACGGAAAGAACACATCCAACGCAAGTACTCAGAAGCTCTAGAGTCAACCAAGCGTGCACTTGCCATCACGCTCAAATTGCTTGGTGAACAACATTCAGAGACCGCTGACAGCTATCATTCATTAGGGATTACACAACACTTACTGGAAGATTATACCTCAGCTACCGAGTCACACAAGCGTGCACTCGCTATCAGACTAAAACTGTTTGGTGAAGAACATCCAGACACCGCCGACAGCTATCATTCATTAGGGATTACACAACACTCACTAGA